TCGACTTTTATTACAGCAAATAATACTTTATCAGTCAATGAAAATATGTTACACACCTGTTATCCTCATAGGAATTCTGATAATGATTCCCTCGCATTAACAACACGTTTCATTAAGTTGACTCAAACAGAAATTAAAGAAGTTTCGGTCAGGAAAAAAAATACGAAAAAGAAGCTATCTTTCAAGAGTCATGCACTGTGTAATACACCAATAGTTGCTGAACTTGAAACTTCAGGTCATCAATCAACCTGCCTAGAAAGCTTGGTTTAAACACAAATTGGTCCATGTATTGTTAGCCCATTAAACTGGCAGTAGCTTCCAGATAGTCTAGCTATTATTCCAGAACATGTGAAATACAATTGCAACGCAGACCAGCTCTATCCCCATTCCCCTGATCGTTCTTTCAAGTTCAAAAAATACAGATTCCTTCTAAACTGCATAAATGCTACTGAATGTATGGAAAATAATTGCAAGACAAGTAAAACAAGAACTTACAGTGAGGGAAATAATGCCAGTAACAAGGCCGGTTTTAATAACCAGTCCAAGGTTGCTTCCATGAAAATGTAACATGTTCCATGAGGGAGGATTTAGCCCTTCTTGCAACTTACCAATCTAAAAATAACAGAAAGGTCCAATGATAAGCAACATCTTCCATGAAGGGGTAATATATTCGCGTGGGACCTAAAACTTACAACACTGATCCCGTGGTGCTGTGCCTTGAATGCAAAAACCAGGATAGTAGATAGGATCACAGACACAAGAGGGGCTCCAGCTGAAACCCAAAACAGCTTTGGTTTTCTCATGCTCTGTGAGGCACACGTTACCATGTAAAAATTCAAACATATATCACTGTAACAAAGAGAAGGTACTGGAATATTTACTGTTTTCTTCCTCTCTTTTTTATCATATCAGAACATGCACTGGAATATTTATTTAAGATAAGCCATTCTATGGTTTTGAGTTTTCAAAATCTTGGAAATCATTATTTGCAAAGGAGCTGGTTTGTGCTGAAAAACATTCGGCCCATCCATAGATTCCGGCCTATTATCTAGTCCATAAGATGTGCCGAAACAGACCTAAACCAAGCCCATTTAAACAATCAAAGAAAAAAAAAAAAAGCGTCTTGTGTCTCATTTCTTTCACTAGTTTATACTTCAATTGTCACAAACTTTAATTTTTAATGGAATGACGCCACCGCTATGACGGCAAAGAGTATCTGAATGCTTTTCTACCAAAAAGGAGGGAAAAAAAGAGAGTATCTGCATACCATATCTCACTCTATAAGAAAGACGCTCTGCTGCCTGTAATGAAATGAACAAATATGACCGGTATACAGTGGCAAGAGGCCAGAGAGGGTGTATGATCTTATGGTCATAAGAGAAGATACGAGGGTGCTTCTATTCTTGCAGAAAAGAACGACTCCAATCAATGATAAAAGAAGGGGGCAAAACCAGGGAATATAGACAATAAAACCGTCTCTGCAATAAATATTTTTGGAAAAATAGAAACAGAAAGTGATTCTCGCGGCGGTTTCAAGTACTTGTTAACAGTAAATACTATGCATTTAATAATATGTTACTTCAAGACAAGGAGAGTGGAAAGAATGACATACGACGTGTCTAGCCAGTAGAAGGAACACGAGGAAGCAAAACCCCATCAGTATCGTTTGCCATGACCACTGCACAAACATCATCTATATGGTCAGAATTATCCACTCAATTTTGTAGTAAGGTACTAGGAGTATAAAATAATTAGCTGGGATTTTGTTAAGTTAGACATCTTTTCGTAGTTTTTTTTAGTCAACGCAAGGTGCCCTCGGTTACATAATGGATGGTCCTTCCCGTACTCTTTAGAGTTTGAATCCGAAACCTTCAGATGATTATTACGCTTTAACCATTGTACTGTCTGGCATGGTCTAGCTTTATGTAGTGATACATATTGAATGGGGAGCTGAAATAGGAAAAGCTTTGACTAATTTAGCAGCTTGAACAATAACTCTCCCATCTAAGGTTATTGTTAAGTGGATTGATTATGCTATAATTATAATTTCGATTGGTAGAATAGTGGGAACCTCACCTTGCATAAATTAGGAGGGGGTTTAACTTGTTTAATTAATTATATATGCTTGTGTTTTGGTGGGGGGTAAACAAACCAATTACCTCATTGATATTGTGGAAAGCAGAGCTCAAAACAGGAACAAGTCCCATTTGTTTGGTGAAATGAGTGATTCCAAGGAGGCTTTTTAGTTGTTGGAGAGAGACTATGACTGCAGCTCCAGCCATGAATCCAATCAGAATTGCCTTGGAAAGAAAATCGATGATGAAGCCAAGCCTGCAGCCATTCAGGCCAACAGAGAAGCAGCACTTTCAGTTGAAAATTAAGAGGAAAAAATAGGAAAGAAGGCAAGAAAACTTACCTTAACAATCCTAACGAAGCCTGGAAGAGGCCAGCAAAGAAGGTCGAAGAAAAGGCTAGTTGAAGAAACAAGAAAGGGTCATTGATAGGAGATACTTCTTGCCTAAGCATTGATCCCAGTATAAGAGAAGCAATAGAAACTGGTCCTACAGCAAGGTCCCTGGAGCTTCCAAGAACAGCATACACAAGAGGAGGAACAAAGCTAGAGTCTGCATAGTTTTGTTTCAAGAAAAAGAAAATTCAATCAAGCAGTATTGTATATAAATAGTAAGATTAAAAAAACAAAGTAATCAGAACTATATTTTACTCACAGAGACCCACTATGGGAGGTAGACTTGCAAGCTTAGCATAACTGATGCCCTAGAAAGATGATTACACAGAAGGATCAACTTAATGGATGAAGATGTTTTATATTTACAATCTTGTTCATGATTTAGGAGAAAAAAAATATTTGGTTGCTGACCTGTGGAATGGCTAAGCTGGCAATGGTAAGGCCGGAAACAATATCAGACTTGAAAAGCTTGAAGCTGTAATTAGGACCCCATTGAAGAATGGGAAAGACATACTGAGCTGCAAGTATCCATTTCTTGCCCAATGGCTGTCTTTTGAATTGGAGCAGAGGGTCATCAGGGAAAAAGGTTTCTTTAAGTCTACTCTTGAGCTTCTGTATGGTGCTCCTATGGGGTGGTCGGACAACCTTGTGCACCTCCATGGGTGTTATTTCCAGGCAATTATCAGGTTGCATGTTATTGCTGGCGTTAGGCTCCATGGCATGGAGAGGGTTTTTGTTTTCTTGATGTGGTTTGTTTGAGCAATGCCTCTACTTTTATATGAGTGTGCACCCTATCAATCAAATTTCTCTAGACCGCTACCAAACAAAGTATCTGTCTCCAAGACAGAAAGAAAAGCTATGGAGAGGAGAGAGAGGTCGGCTCTTGATGAGAGCGTTATCAAACAAGCAGTCTCTAATTGAGCCCGCTAACTCTTTTTACTTCTTGCAGAGATGCGCGCGTTTATCATTTACATGTTAAAACAGGAGGATTATATTAGAATTTAATAAATAAATAAGAATTATCATTCAAAATTGTTAGAATCCCTATGAACGGTCCGCATGTGCTCCGAATTTCTTTTTTTTTTTTTATTTACGTGGGGTGTCCATGCCAGCTTACGCGCACCACGACTAATCCTCATGGCCCACTGAACATCCTGTCAGCCCAATAAACAGGTAAGGCACCGCGGGGATGACAGGCGTACATGGTAAGGTTCGAACCCAGGTGCAGAGGAAGGGAACAAGCCCCTCCCACCACTAGGCCAGAACCTCACTTGCATGTGTTCCGAATTTCTAATCCTAAGAGTTGTAACGAAAGACTGAATGAAATTTACGTTGGGGTCCGCTGATGATATTTTAATTTTTATTTATTAGAGATTAAATATATTGATATAATATTTGATAAATTACTTATATTTATAAAAGAAGTTGATATTATTAAAAATAAATAAAAAAAAGATTATAACACATAAAAAACACTTTAATTAAACGTTTTTATATTGCTGCACAAGCAACAAAGATGCTGCTTTTGGCAATTATTTCATTTTTTTTACTCTTATTTTTTTTAATTTTTAAATAAATAATAGCAGTATATATAGTATATATAGGTTGCATCATTTTATTAATAATTGATATAACTTGGCTTGATAATACATATTTATTACTGTAAACTTTTAATAATGACAATTCTTTTATAAAGTAGGATTACAAATGCTACCACATAAGTGGTAAAATCTCATCAATATATGTGCATGAAAAGCTCATTTCTTTAATTACTGGGAAGCTGCATTTCCATTTATAAAAGGAAATGAAGAGATGACAACTGATGACAGGGTGCTAAATAAGTTCTGGTACCGCTCATTAACATTATGGTTGTAAGAATGGAAGGCAGTTAAGCTATTGGCACATGTATAGCTATCATACACACACATTTCTGAGGAATTTTACCATAATTATACCATGATGAAGTTTAGATTACCGTCATGAAAGAGGTTAATGCTACTAAAACTTTATCCTAAGCATGCCCATAATTAACGAACCCCGTTTTGGAGTCTATGGTTCATTAGTGTTGCTTCAGACCACTACGACTAGAGGTAATGTTCTAGGTTTATAATCTCGTTTCATTTATATTCAATGTGCTTGAGTTCAACAAGTTTGATCAATCGTAGCTTTGAAATAATAACTTTAAAGTCAGATTCTACCATCTTTTCTTCCTTTAATTTACAATCAAAACTTAAAACTTAAATCCCAGTATATTTTTATTTATCTGATAAAAATTAAATGTAAAATAATATAAATTTATAAAAAAATTTAATCTAATTTTTTTTTACATAAAATAATATATCAAAAATCAATATAAAGTCGTATTCTAAAAACTTTATTAACTCGGTTATTGTCTGGCAAGGTGATGGCAAATGTGGGTTTCCGAAGTTGAAATATTCCGAGTAATATGCTGCCTCCCCCGGTCTTCAGTTTTATTTTCGTTTCAGAGACGGCGCGCTTCTCTATAAGATGGTTATGGATTTTATGAGGATGGTCACGAGTCTTTAATACAGTACAGACATGGGTATTCAAAATGAGAGTCAGCGTGCATTCTGTACCACTTAGACCCGAGTTGCCAGTTGCCACAGATGTTGCTGTACATTACACAAAAAAAGGCACAGGGGAAAACTATGCAAATGCTGACGCTCACAAGGGAACCAGTAAGGCTGAGGACATGCTCAAAATATGGAACGGAAAGTGCTAGAGCTAGTATTACCAGTAGCAGAAATGAACCCACAGCGCCTCTTATAACTGTCTTAGTCCGGGAACTAATAGAATTAGGAAGGTTGTGTTCTAGCTGGATGGCGAATGGTGCGAATTCGAGTGCATATTTGGTCATGGGTGTTAGCACTGTTGCCCACAAGGCAATCTTTGTAATGATATGATGTCGAGGCATGCTTAGGGTTATTTGAGAGCTGACTTCAGGGCCGAATAGTCTGGCACCCATGAATGCTAGTGATGCGTATAGTGCTGATACCGATGCAAAGCTCACAATAGATACCTGGAACCAAACGTGAAAATTAAGGGTGAGCAAAATATTCTCAAACATTACGTCAAAATTATGGAATATTTTATATTCAGAAAAGAAGAGAAGTACTGTAATTTGATTTGAGGAGAGACTGAATTAATTAGGAGTGATACCATTGTAAACTTGGATGGATCTTTCATGGATTTATACAAGTCGGGGAAAACGATGTGGCCCGCATAACTGAAGATGTAAAGGCCGGATATGGCAGGAATCTTGTGGAGGTGGAGCGCGGGTATACTGTGATTCGCTTTCACAACTTGAAAGATGGCAGTGCATGCAACGGAAGTGAAGATGACGATGGACATCAGAATGCCGCCTGATGAAAGGAAAGATATGGAAGAAAGATCCCTCAGCCACAGGCTAGGAAGTGCCACCAGCACCCCCATCGCGGTTAGTAGCTGAGATTTATATAATTTTGCCCATATTGGTAACCTAAGTTGTGTCCCTGCAAATACTGTTATAAGATTGTCATGAAGTGATATGGTGTAGGAGACTAGGGCCATGAAAATCTCCAAGTAAATGAAGGTTGCAGCCAAAACTCTTCCATTGGAGCCAAATGCATGTTGACCAATATCTGTATAGCTCCTTGACTTGGGACTCTTAGCAAGGCATTTTCCGAGCAGGTGGGATGTATATGCGCATATTACACCTAGTCCCACTAGCAAGAATGCAGAAACCCATCCTCCATTTTCTAAAGCATAAGGAGTGGATAGCTGCCCAAGCCCTGTGACGGAAACACATGCGAATCAATTAGCCAAAAACTTCTTGTCCATTCACTCTAAGAAGATGGAATCAGGAGATCTGAAAGCCTTACCAATGAGCATGCCAATCATGTTGATGACAGAATGAGCAAAAGAACTATTAGCCTGATCAGTATGATGCTCAACATCTGCCTCGTTTACCACAGCACTCTTTAAATCTTGGGTGTCTTGATCACACTTGCACCCTTTATTTTCCTCTACACAAGCATCACAAGTCATCCATTGCGGAGCCAATTTCTCATGCCTGCTAATCATGGGGGAGACTTGCAAAATGATGATGGTGGTGGTTCTCTTATTGAGCCATTAGTTGGTGATCCTGAAGCAACTAATGATGATGTTGATGTTATTCCTGAACAGGTTATGCAGGAAGCTTCAGATGAGCCACAATTGAGAAGGTCAGCTAGACCTCGCCAACCTTCCACCAGATATTCTCCTCATGAGTATGTGTTGGTCACTGATGGGGGAGAGCCAGAATGCTTTGATGAAGCTATGTCACATGAGAAGAAAAGTGAGTGGTTGAAAGCAATGCAAGAAGAGATGAAATCCTTGCATGAAAACCATACCTTTGAGTTAGTGAAGCTTCCTAAAGGTAAGAGAGCACTCAAGAACAAATGGGTGTTCAGGTTGAAAATTGATGAACATTGCTCACAACCAAGGTACAAGGCAAGATTGGTTGTGAAAGGCTTCGGACAGAAGAAAGGTATTGATTTTGAAGAAATCTTTTCACCAGTGGTCAAGATGTCTTCAATCCGAGTTGTGCTTGGCTTAGCTGCTAGTTTGAATCTTGAAGTAGAACAACTTGATGTGAAAACTGCCTTTCTCCATGGTGATTTGGATGAGGAGATCTACATGGAGCAGCCTGAAGGTTTTGAAGCAAAAGGTAAAGAGCAGCTAGTTTGTAAGTTGAAAAAGAGCTTATATGGGTTAAAGCAAGCTCCAAGACAATGGTATAAGAAGTTTGATTCTTTTATGGTGGATCATGGTTATGACAGGACCACTTCTGATCATTGTGTATTTATGAAAAGGTTTCCAGATGGAAACTTTATTATTCTCTTGTTGTATGTGGATGATATGTTGATTGTTGACCATGATGCTAAGAAGATTCAGATGTTGAAGGAAGAGTTGAGCAAGTCTTTTGCAATGAAAGACTTGGGACCAGCAAAACAGATTCTTGGTATGAAGATCACACGTGACAGGAAGAAGGGAAAACTTTGGCTATCTCAGGAGAGATATGTTCAAAAGGTACTTGAGAGATTCAACATGAGCAACTCCAAACCTGTTTGTTCTCCACTTGCAAGCCACTTTAAACTAAGTTTTAAGCAGTGTCCTTCAAGTGATGAAGAAAAAGATGAGATGAAAAAGGTTCCTTATGCATCCGCAGTTGGTAGCTTGATGTATGCCATGGTTTGCACAAGGCCGGATATAGCTCATGCAGTTGGTGTGGTTAGTCGGTTCCTCTCCAATCCCGGTAAAGAACACTGGTCAGCAGTGAAATGGATACTCAGGTATCTCAAAGGTACTTCTAGTTTTGGTTTATGTTTTGGTAATGATAAACCTATGTTGGATGGATACACAGATGCAGATATGGCTGGTGATGTTGATTCTAGAAAGTCCACATCAGGATACTTGATGAAGTTTGCAGGGGGAGCAGTCTCATGGCAATCAAGGTTGCAAAAATGTGTTGCATTATCCACTACAGAGGCCGAATATATTGCTCTTACTGAAGGGGGCAAAGAGTTGTTATGGATGAAGAAGTTCTTGCATGAACTTGGCCTAGTTCAAGAGAACTTTGTATTGCACTGTGATAGTCAAAGTGCAATCCATCTCAGTAAGCATCCTACTTTTCACTCTCGATCAAAGCACATTGAGGTTAAATATCAATGGATTCGAGATGCTATGGAGATGAAGTCATTCGTTGTTGAGAAGATCCATACTGATGACAACGTGTCTGACATGATGACCAAACCTCTACCGAGAGAGAAGTTTGAGTTTTGCAGAAAGGAAGCAGGCTTGTTAGAGCCTCCTAAATTGAATTTTACATATTGATCGCCGGTATGGCGAATTCCTCACATGGTGTGTGAGGGGGAGATTTGTTGTGTATGGTCCCACACCATGTGATAGTGGGACCACCACATTTAATGAGAAGAGAGGCAGCTGACCACTTTAAAATTAAGTGGTTCGGGTACTGTAGCACAAGATTTGAAAAGAGAAGAGAGGAGAAGAAAATCAAGAGAGAAAAAGAGAAGAAAAGGCAGCAGAGCAGCCTTCATTCTTTCTTTGATTTCCAGCTCGTTCACCGTTGGATCGGGCTGAGATTTTGACAGCAGCTTCTAGACACGTTGATCTTCATTCTGAACGGTTGGATCGAAGATTGGTGGTGTGGAAGCTGGCCGTTTTGACAGAAAACGGGGCTGTCAGTTTTGTGAGTTTTTCTCAAATAATTCTCCTTTAATCTTGTTGTAATCCGAGAATAAGTTGTTCTTGATGATATATATGTTGTATCCCTTAGTTGAATCTGAGGAAGAATGATTGTGAACCTATTATTTGTTGATAGTGGAAGTTTTTAGGTGGACTACGGTCCCGTGGTTTTTCCCGCATCGGGTTTTCCACGTTAAAAATCTTGGTGTTGATTTTGTGATTATTTGCATTATTTTTCATCATTGTTTGATTCTGTTTTACTGCACAAAGAGGGAAAGAATTGGGACTTGTGAATTGTAATTGTATTCCGTTGAATTGATCCGGGTAAATTGGTGTCCGGTTGTTCCGAATTTTCCCAACAACAATCATATTTTTGGATTCAGAAGCATATGTTTTGAGATTTATAATTTGTTATGTGACTTCTAAATGTTACCAAATGAGCATAAAGTATAGTTTTTCCATGCATCTGTAAATTTATAAAAAGAATTTCTTGCAAGTGATTGGGATTAGATTTCACATGTATGTAGTGTGATAATGTATGGCAATTGGAATCCGTGACAAAAGTTCCAACCTCAAGAAAAGATTGTGTTTCTTTGGGGTACTATTTGATATATCTGTTCGTCCTCCATGTTGGCAGGCCTGAGTCGAGACTCGTGGATCAAATTGTGCAACATATTTTGAAGAAATTGAATTATGCATCCTCAAGTGATTTGAAGGGCCTGGTCGGAATGGATTCACGCATGAAGCAAATCGAAGCCTTATTATGTACACAGTTACCAGAGGTGTGTGTTGTAGGAATATGGGGCATGGGTGGTATTGGTAAGACAACCATTGCTGGTGAGATTTTCAACAAGATCGCAAGGGAATATGAAGGTCACTATTTTCTTGCAAATGTGAGGGAGGAATCAGAAAAGAATGGAGGATTATTTCGTATGCGAGATGAACTTTTCTCTAAAATAACAGAGGAAGAATATCTACATATTCGCACCCCACGTATTGGGCACCCTTTCATTAAAGACAGGATCTGCCGTAAAAAGGTTCTGATTGTTTTTGATGATGTGAATAATGTAGATCACATTGAAATGTTACTTGGAGGATGTGATTTGTTTGGTCCAGGAAGTAGAATCATCCTAACATCTAGAGATAAACAGGTCCTTAAGAAATATTCAGACAAAATATTTGAGGTTGGGGGACTGAATTACCAGGAAGCTCTTCATCTCTTTAGTTTGCATGCATTTAAGGATAATCATCCCCCATACAATTATATGGAGCTGTCTGTGAGGGCACTAAATTACGCTAAAGGTAATCCATTAGCTCTTAAAGTCTTAGGTTCCTTTCTACTTGGCAGAACGAGAGAAGTATGGGGAAGTGCATTGAACAAGGTTGAAAAACTTCCTCAGAAAGAAGTTGATATTGTGTTGAGAATAAGTTTTGATGCACTTGATAGAGAAGAGAAGAGTATATTTCTCGATATTGCATGTTTTTTTAAAGGGCAGAACATTGATTTTACAAAGAGAATACTAGATGGCTGTGGCTTTTCAGCTGATATAGGAATTAGTGTTCTTGTCGATAAGTGTCTCGTCACTATTTCTGGAAACAAGATAGGGATGCATGATTTGTTGCAGCATATGGCCCATGAAATTGTCAGCATGGAATCAGTCAATGACCCAGGAAAACGCAGTAGATTGTGGCATTTTGATGATGTGTATGATGTGCTGACCAGAAATCTGGTGAGAGTTTCATGCATAAGTTTCTCCCCTCCTTTTATGCATTTCTTTAATTTATCTCACTGTTCATGATTTCCCTTTGCTGTGATGTTTCAGGGAACTAAAAACGTTGAAGGGATATCCGTAGACTTGGATAGTTCTAAAAAGATAATGAAGGTGAGTTCCAGAGCGTTTGCGAGGATGTATAATCTTAGATTGCTCAAAGTTTATAATTCAGGATTCGGAAATAATAGTGAAGTGCTCCTTCCTCATGGCCTGGATTCTATTTCCAATGAGTTGAGGTATCTCCGCTGGGATGGATACCCTTTGAGATCTTTGCCGTTCAATTTTATTCCGCAGAACCTTGTTGAAATTAATATATCTTCAAGCAAGGTTGAACAACTTTGGCAAGGAAACCAGGTATGTCGACAACTACAAATAAGCATACATTATTAGAGATATAGATACTAATATGTTTGACGATTATTTCTGTCAGAATCTTGTGAATCTAAAAGAGGTCAACCTCAGCAATTGTAAGCATCTAACAGAAATCCCAGACCTCTCACAGGCTGCAAATCTCGAGAGTTTGAATCTTCAATCCTGTACAAGTTTGACAGAAGTTCCTCAATCTATCCAATATCTAGACAAACTCTCCGATTTCAATCTGAGATCCTGTACAAGCCTTATAAGCCTGCCAAGTAGTATTAATTTGAAATCACTCAAGACTCTTAACCTCTCAGGCTGCTTAAATCTTAAGAATTATCCAGAGATCGCGGAGAATGTGCAGTACTTAAATTTAAATGAGACTTCAGTTCCAGAACTTCCCCGATCAATTGAGCATCTTAGTAGACTTGTTGCATTGAATTTGAGGGATTGTAAGCAACTTGGGAATCTTCCGGAGGATGTATGTTCGTTGAAGTCACTTGAAATTGCTGATCTGTCAGGCTGCTCAAATATCACCATGTTTCCAGCTTTTCCAGAGAAAGTCAGATATATTTACTTGAGTGGAACTGCAATAGAAGTAGTTCCGTCTTCCATCGATCGCCTTTCAAGACTCTTTTCTTTGGATCTAATGGGTTGCAAAAGGCTCAAGAATCTTCCATGTACTTTTTCTAGGTTGGCATCTCTTGAAAAACTCAGTCTCTCTGGGTGCACAATCATCACGGAGTTTCCAGAGCTTCCAGTGACTATTAAGGAGTTGTATCTGGATGGGACAGCAATACGAGAGATTCCTTCATCAGTTGAGCATTTGTCCAACCTTGTTGAATTGAGTCTGCAAAACTGTACAAGATTTGAGATTCTACCTGGTAGTATTTTTAACTTGGTTTCACTGAAAAAACTCAACCTCTTTGGATGCTCCCAATTCCAGACTTTCCCTTCTGTGGATCAATATGGATATTTGACTTACCTTTGTTTAGATGGAACAGCCATAACAGCATTACCCTGGACAATCAAAGTTCTAGCAAGTGTTTCTCGCTTGGAAATGAAAAACTGCAGAAATCTTGAATGCAACTTGCTCCCTGAGGTTCAGAATCTTTTGAATTTCAATGAGAGAGAGGTGAAATTACATCGCCTGCGTCAGCTATATCTGAACGATTGCAACGTACTTAGCTTGCCTGGGAGTTTTTCCTGCTTATCCTCACTAGAAGTACTGGATCTCAGTGGAAATAGTTTTACTCTGCTACCAATACTCTCAGATCTCCTTAAGCTGGAATCCCTTTTTTTAAGGAATTGCTTTAGACTTATACATATCCCTACCCTTCCACCAAGACTAACGATTCTAGATGCACACAATTGTTCATCGGTGAGCGGTGTATCAGGCATATATTCAACTGAGGTTGAGGGAAATATTTTTGAATTCCTATTTACTAACTGCTTTGGCTTCCATGACAAAACTGTATGCAAATGCAACGACATCATTGAATATTCCTTGAGGAAAATTAAGGTTTACGCCAAAAGATTGTATGCACTGGTATTTTTGTCTTCCCTTCTTTCTCTCCCGCTTACCTTCTAATTTTTAATGTTTATCTGTCATGTTAAAACTGTGTCATGATTTTAATGAAACAGATGCCATCTGTACTGCCCGGGACATCTAGTGTTTGCTTCCCAGGAAGAAATGTTCCATACTGGTTTGTCAATCAAACTCAGGGATTTTCTTTAAAAATTAAGCTGCCGTCACAATGTGCTAGTAATCAGTTCCTGGGTTTTGTTCTGTGTGCTGTTGTTGACTTTGGATACTTGTTCAAAAGCTCTTATGGCTTCCAAGTTAATTGTATATATCATATCAAGAACGAATATGGGGATAATCATCATCTTCAAAGCTGTTTTGGTGGTTGGTTTGACGGGGAGCATGTTCGAGAAGTCTCAAACGATATGTTGTTCTTAGGGTATGATCCATGTTTGGAATTTAAAGAATGTTATTTGTTTGGAAAATGCAGTGAGGTAGTAATTGAATTCTACTCGGAAGATAGGAACAACAATCCTTTAAAGAGTTGCAATGTGATCAAGTGTGGGGTCTGTCTGCTATCTGCAGAAGATGATAATTCATGATCATGCCACATTCCTAAGGTCAGCATCCTTCCTTTGTGACTGCGGTTAATGCTGAAGAAGCCGAAATGACTCTGAGTGATTCAAACCAATCAAATGAGACTGATATAGATGCATTAAGGAATTACATTGAAAATCAGCACTCTCTATCCCAGCAAAAAACCTCGTCTGCTGATCGCATCTTGCTTGGCTCAACAAAGATTCAGGTTAGTTTACACTTCTCCACGTAGGCTAAGTTGCTGATGATCTCTTTCTACAGAAGAAAGCTTAAAATTTTCTCTCCACATATCTTTTTCTGGCTTGGCATCTTTTATCCATTTAAAGCTTTGGAAATTGGAATTCCGAATGCAGTATCTATCTGGAACGACCCTAATGATTGAAACCGATTCAAGAGGCACTGAAATAAATGCTTTGGGGAATTACATGGGAAATCAGCACTATTCATCCCATTAAAAAGCCTCTCCTGTCGCACCTTGCATGGTTCAACAAAGATTCAGGTTAGTTTACACTGCTCTACTTGCACCAAGTTGCTGATCTCTTTGTTCAGAAGTTGGCTTCAGATTCTGTCTCTACATGTGTTTTCTGCTCCCAACTCTGTTTTCCGTGTGAGGTTTTGCAAACCGGAATTCTGACTTGCAATACATATATACATGCCTTGCTGGTCACTTTGGTCCTTTCCTCTTCCTAATTTGTTTCTTCTCTACATAATTTTATGTTGTTCCCTGACTTCTAAAGTGCTTTCCTTCCTCTCAAGCACTCTTGTTCTGCCTAACAAAATCAAGAGCGAGTTCTTTATTTTACTAGTTATTTTAGGATTCTTAGCACTTATTTAAACGGTTTGTAAGTTATTTTCAAAACAGTTTACAGATTATTGATATTTAGAACTTTTCAAAACAGAGTTTTATCTATAGTTTAGACTATAATTTTAGAGTTTGAGAAGCCCTAGCTTCTTATCGTACATGCTGCATCAGAAATTCTCGAGACCTCATGACTATCACCATCAACAGAACTAGTGACAAAGGCAGAAGAGTTTCCAATTCAGTTTTGCATATGGTTGGAGGATCCCTTCAAACAGTGTTGATAAAATAACCCACCAATCATTTTTTTTACAGTGAAAGGTGTATCCCTTGATAATTTTTGGCAGTGCTGCTTATGTCAAAATACAAGAAGAGACGAGGACTAAGCTTGAAAATCAAAGTCAGAAATGCGTTCTGCTAGGGCGTGGAGGGACTTCTTGTGGTTACACCGTTTGCAATCCTATCACTAAAACGGTGGCGACGTCAAGAGATGTTCAGTTTGATGGAGAGCAACTATGGAAATGGAGCAATGAAGGATAGCAGCAGCAACGTTTTTAGAAGATGATTAAGAGCAGAATAATGAAGGCAGTGATCAGAATATGGCAGCAGTTCAACCATCTCTAAATGCTTCTTCTAGTTCAGATTCAAGGAAGTCAGATCATTTACAATGTGTAAAAATCATTTATTGCTTGAAAATAAACTTTTTTAGGCTATATTTATACAAAATAAAGGGCTAAATTTATACTATATAAGTTAACTAGCGCCAAGAAAACTAATGTGAAGTTGCCAAATCTGAATTGCATAATTGTAGAAACAAAAGAAAATTTGTCTAGTTGTTAAGTAGATGTAGTGGATTGCTAGATCGGTGGGGCACATGTTTTTTGTTTTTAAGTTGAAAAAAAAAATATAAAGGCACTAATAATACATTTTTTAATTTATTTTTTAGAAAAAAAAATAAACTTAAAATTTAATGATACAGATTATTATATATTTATTTTTATAATGTTAAGATGGTGACATATTAAATAATATTTTTTAATATTAAAATGATATTATATTAGATTGACTCGAAACAATTCTAATTATTTGTAAAAAACTTAACTTAATCCTAGATGTCCTATAAAATCTACATTAAAATATAAATTATGAGGTATAGGTTGTGTCGCAGGGTCGCTAATGCTGCAACGTTATCTGGCAATGATGGAGGCTCTTTGTTGTGCCTCCACCATAAGGTGCGTGTTAAGAAGGGTTTTTAGATTTAATCATAGAATTATGATTAATGTTTAGAAATCACTATCTAATATTATAGTCACTAAAAACTTATATTCTGTGAATGTCAAAGTAAGGAACTAGTTGTGCAAAGAGAAGACACATCACTCTAGCACACCCTACTTAAGATAAGCTGCATTGTTATTTAATTATTTTTTCTAAGTTAGGATTTTATTTGTTAGTCTTTTTTAAGGCTCAAGGCAGATATCTCTTCGTAAGAGAGTCTCTACCTTATGAAGTTAAATCTTAACCGTTCTAAAATTTGAATTTTAGCATTGTATTTCTATAGCTTGTATTTTTAATATCTGAGGGTGTACTTTTTATGTAATTTTACACCCCACAAATATTAAAGTCTACATCTAGATCCTAAAAAAAAACGATTTTGACATGTTGGTCAAATCCTAATGGATATTCATAAATTGATTATGATATCCTTTTTTAGATTTTTTAAAACATGAAAAAGATGCAATTTTTGTTTTTTTTATGAAAAATATACTTGGAAAAATTTTAGGATTTGGACGGACGCAACAAAATATTTTTTCCTATTTGAAAACGTTTTGAATTTTTTTTGAAATATTTCAGAGAAAACCAGACATTTTAATACCAGATTTTTATTTTATAATGTAAATATACAACTCAATATTATGCAAAATTGGTAGAAAAATATGTGAGAAAAATCACAAATTTTTTTTTAAATGATTTTTGAAATTTTTTTGATTTTTTTTTAAATAAGGACCGAGCCGAATCTAGCCAACCCATTTAGGCTGGGGCAAAACTGGCCCGGTCCAAAGCCAAGTTAATTAATCAAGAACTGCATGTAAAAATGAATTTTACATACAGCAACCTTGACAAAAAAGGAGGTAAAATAGGGAGGAGAAAGTTGTGTGGTGTGGAGGTTGTGGACGTGATGAGGATGTTTGGCTGGTGGCTCAGGAGGCGACAGCTGAGGTGATGGTGACTGGAGTCAACTATGGAGGAAGAAGAAAATGTTGTAAAGGAGAGAGAAAGACTAGAAGGAGAAGAGAGAGAAGGTCACGATGGCTACTCTACCACTAATAAGGAGCTGGGTTGATGGAAATGATGGTGGTAAAGCCAGTTGTGGCGGTGGAGGTAGGTGGCAAAGGAAACAAAAGAAGAGGAAAACGGGAAGGGTTGCAAAAAGGAGAGACAAAATTGCATAAACAAGGGAAAATGGCTGGTTTTTTGGCTGAATTTGTACCCGATTTTCTCCTCCTTGAAACCATCAAATCCATCTTTATAGGGGTGGAAGAGAAAAATCTTGTCTACATTGGAAAAAAAATTAGCCTTTAATTTAGTTGAAAATGATCTTAACTGTTGATTCAAATTAAGCATAGTGCACTGTCAAATCTACAGCTACAAGCTGCCTGAGCTAATCTCTTTAGGGTGGTTCCATATCTGTTTATTTGCCAGTGAGCTATAAAGACCATACCTAGACGTAGAGGGATATCTAGTGATTAGTTCCATGTAATTTTTAGCAAATTTTATGGACGTTAAGTACATTAAATGCAACAACAAAATAGGTAACCTGAGCAATTATTTCAAATAATTAAAAAAGAAGATAAACAGTACTAGAGATTTTTTTTGGCATAGTTCATTTCAATCCTCCCTCTTTAAATTTGATTTAATTACACCCCTAATTGACTCTAAAACTTCAATTTTCTTGCAATTTGGCCCTTGATTTCAATCAATTAACTTGATAAAATTAAATTTGATCTCTTAAAATTCCAATATACTCAATTAAGCTCAAATTAGACTCTCAAACTTAATTTTTCACCAATTAAGCCTCAAATAAAATTAATTTGACCCATTTAAAGTATAATTAAGTCCCTACACTAAATTAAATCCTTCAATTGAACCCAAATTAATTCTTAAACATAATTAAAATTTAATTTGACTCATAATTAAATCAAATTGACCTATTAAAAATTTAATTATGTCTTTGGACTTAATTTTTATGCAAATTCGTCTAGTAATCATTTAATTTGACCTTGAATTTGCGTTTTCTCTCTATTTTGGGACATAATGTGGTACAATTAAGTCTTTAATTTCCTTCAAAAATTATAGTTTGATTTCTTAGTTTGCTTTCTCCTTATTGCCAGCCGTTATTATTATTATTTGGTTTTATTTAAAAAAAATGATTTTTAAAGAATAACTCAAAATTGGATTATGACAGGTTGAACTTGAGACTTTGAGTTGATGGGCTTGTTTGGAGTTGTGGTAGCTATTGTGATTTAAAGTGTTTTCAAATTAGAAATACATCAAAATAATTTTTTTAAAATATATTTTTAAAATCAGCATATCAAAACGATCTAAAAATATAAAAAATATTTTTGAAATTTAAGAAAACACAGTTATCGTTTCCAAGTAATATACTATATTTCTACGGGGACATTTATTTTCAAAATTGGATTAAGAAGGATTAGTTTTATCTTTCTTAGTTTCTGTGAACGCTAATAGGAAATTTCCCATTAAAATGTATTCTTGGATGCACACGCTATCTATATAATTTACTTTTATTCTTGTCTTTTTTATTGCTATATTACTTCTTTTAATACACTATGCAGTAATAACAAGCAAAATAATCCAATTTTCACCTCTCTTGGAGGCACAATACAAGGTTACATGGCATACATAAAACAACAAACACTCCTCCCTCTTGCAGCCATAACATATAACATCACCTATGTAAAACAACAACTATTTTCTTTCCTTTACCTCTGTTGGTCAAGTGTTTCAAATAATTTTGTTTAAAAAACTTTAAAATGATGGTGTAAAAACTATATTTTAAAAACAAATTCCCCTACGCTTGGGAGAGGCCCCCCAAGCATATAGGGTTCCCTCTCCGGCCTAACATCTTCACTTTAGGTCATCCAATTCAAGCAACTAATAGGAAATCCCATGCAATTCAAATCCAAGCCAAGCAATTAAATCCCAGGCAACAAAATCCAGAAAATTCCAAGCCAAGGAAATTTAAGCCATTCAAACTCATTGCTTCACACTAGTTCTTTCTATTGTTTTTCTTATACATTATTTTGTTCTCTTATATGTATTAACTTAAAAATTATAGAATTTTCTAGCCAGCACAGAGGAGTGCAGTAGAATCATGTTTTCAAACAGTAAATTAGCGAAGAACAAAGTCTTGTGACAAAAGAAAAGAGCCCAAAAGACTCGCCTGATTTTGATGTTTAAACAAATAAAAAAACCTTCATAAATGATGAGCTTGAAAGAGATGAAGAAATCACACGAGCGCTTCTGAGAGGATTGAAGAGTCAATAATTTCAATAGTCATATTCCAAGAAATCCATGCATCTTCTCCTTGGTACGTCAATGAGCTGGTGAAGATATGAACGCAAGCAGAAACATAGGCAGATTGTTTTCTTTTTATCATTTAGACCTGTCTAATGTTGATGAACACACAGGGAGTCATGGAAATGCATTAGCTGACGTTTTGAAAAAGTTTTAAACTGAAGATGGATCATGGAACTCGCAGAAATATCTCGGGATGGAATTCGCAGGTCATTACGTGAAAAGTAACTCTCAGAGGTATTAAGTATTTGTCCTAGGATAATTGCTGAGCACTAGAAATGAATAGTTCTTTCTGTTATGCTTGAATCACCTCTAGCATGATCCACGATGTAACTTGGGAAAAATTGTGTGCTCCAAACATGTAAAAACCCGTGCTTCTTATAATCATCAAGTTTTCTGTAGTTTCCAAGAAGATAGAATTTTTTTTTTTTTTTCTATGTAGTATGGACCGGGCAAACGAGGGATAGTATTCAAAGAAAACAGGCCCAAAGAAGGAAGCCTTAGTTGGGTCATAAAGACAGGTCTAGTCCTAAATTTGGTCTTTTAACGTTACATCGATTCCAAGTCTCTCTCTGACTCTCTCTCTGCCTTCTCTGCTTTGAAGTTTGGTGATAGCAGGTTACTCTCCCCTCTCTTCCCTCTCAAGTTAAATTAATAAAAAAAGCTTTTTCACTTTAGGTCATCCAATTCAAGCAACTAATAGGAAATCCCATGCAATTCAAATCCAAGCCAAGCAATTAAATCCCAGGCAACAAAATCCAGAAAATTCCAAGCCAAGGAAATTTAAGCCATTCAAACTCATTGCTTCACACTAGTTCTTTCTATTGTTTTTCTTATACATTATTTTGTTCTCTTATATGTATTAACTTAAAAATTATAGAATTTTCTAGCCAGCACAGAGGAGTGCAGTAGAATCATGTTTTCAAACAGTAAATTAGCGAAGAACAAAGTCTTGTGACAAAAGAAAAGAGCCCAAAAGACTCGCCTGATTTTGATGTTTAAACAAATAAAAAAACCTTCATAAATGATGAGCTTGAAAGAGATGAAGAAATCACACGAGCGCTTCTGAGAGGATTGAAGAGTCAATAATTTCAATAGTTATATTCCAAGAAAT